AAGTAATCAGCACAATAGTTCATAAGAAAACACACAAACGCCGTTCTACTAGAATAATTTGTGTCTTTATTACTCCGCCACAGATAACATCGTAAAAACAAAACAATGTGCAATCATACTCAGATGTACACACACAAATGTCGATGCATCAAACAGCTCTCACCGTGACACAAAGGCTGGAGAGCCGCTTCAGCCTGGGTGGAACCAGAAAACACCGACACAGCTGGACGTCCCGTCTGGAAAAGACTCACAGCAGACTGTAACCTGGTCTAAGTGCTTCTTCTTTTTATTATCTCTCGACATCACATGAGAGCGTTTCCCAGTGAACAAAAACATGTTTACTTGAAACTCAGAGCTGCATTCCAGAAAAAACGGTAACTCCTTTCCATCTGCATGGAGGGAGTGGACTTATCTCATCTGAGGAATAACATGCTCACTTGAAACTCAGAAACTTCAAGGTAGCATCTGAGGAGGATGAGCCAAAATCAACTTCTCATGCTTCCCGAGTGATAAGCAAAAAAAACCCCACTTCATCACAGTTCTTTTAAGTCTCAAGTGATAAGAACATTCCTTTCTGCAAAAACACTTCATTATAATTCTGCAAGTAAACCCTCCTCTCAGGCTTCCCAAATGATCAAAAACACTTTATGTAATAATTCAAACGGTCAGAAAAACAACTTTTTATTAAATTTACAATTCATTTCACCCTTTGGTTTTCTGACTAATTTTGAAAATTATTCCCTTCAAAATCTTCAGGATATCGCCTGCCAACCTATTCTTGGACAGATTCACACATAAAATTTAAAAATTCCAAACGGGAATTAAAACCCTGAAAAGTATGATTAATTACATTACCACTAACATGATAATAATATCATGATATCCTCTGGGACTGTGGTGTCGATTGTCATGGTGGCTTTTTCTGTTCCAAACCAATGGTCCTCTATTATTAATACTATTTTCATTACAGGGCTGTGCTATAATTTTTTTGATTGATTCTATTCTTAATCCTTCTAATATAAAAACAAGTGCACAGATTACATATAGTTAATACACCAAAACAAATTAACAAAATAAGCAAAGGAGGGGCTGCATATTGTCGCGCCGTTGATGACATTCCTGTGAATATGTCCCACCAATGGTGAGCCGACGCTTGTTCTATTAGCTTAGCCGCATGTAAAACCTTTCCTTGAGCAATATAGGTGGACACTGTTAGATTAGACACGTTTGACTTATGCAACTCAATCATTCGTTTCAGCTCCGTAGACCCATTCAATGCGCATTTGAAACGGTCTAGGGAGACTCGCCAGGGTACGTGCAATGTTTGCCATTGTACCTCTGTTAGTCGAGTGGTGGAACTATAATTAGTTAATTGATAAGTCTGGTTGTTCCAAGTCCACAGATGTACACCATACACACATCCAGAGAAAGGCACCTTAGGTAATCGAGGATGACTCTTAATTGTAGCTATACACAGAGTATCTGGGCCTATCTGCCATAGCATGTCTCTAGCTGGTTCATGAGTCCAATCACACAATATTTGGTTAAACGGGTTAACATGACCTGTTTGCAGAATACATACCACTCCTTTATCAGCCGTCCCGCATAGTTGCACGTCATAGGTGAGATTTGTCTGTGGCTCAAACCATTCATCCTGTACTTTTAAAAACCAATATCCTTGTACAGTTATTACAGGTAACACATGATACCTGCATACTGTAGTTATGTCACTTACAAGATACTGAACCCAATAACCTTCACACATATATTCAGTACATTCTGTCAATTCAGGTTTTAGGACCACCCAATGTGTACTTGAAATGTTCCACAGCTTCCTCCACTCATGATGATTTAAGGTGGTCACTATTCTCTGGAAGCGTTTTCTGCAACTGTGCATGTATGGTTTGCAGGGTATACGTGGTCCAGTTCAGCACCTGGGTTATGTTTTGGAGTACTTCTTTAGTGTTACCCCACATCTTCAACTGCCAGTTTATTTCTTTTAGCAGTATTTTGGCCGTTTATTCTTGAGTCATGACTACTGAGGGCATCCAGACCCCAACTTGATGAACTGCCGGCGAGGCATGTTTCCCTCTTCTGTGTTATTGGCAGTAAAGTCAAACTTTGTTCCATTTTTTCCATCTGGTTTACATGTACCGTTCTTATACGTGTTACACAGTGGGGTTTCCACATAAATTCTAATCTGACATCCCTTAGGTATCGCTGGGATGGTTTTCCTGTTGTAGCATGCCCGACACTTGTACATAGGACAGTCAGTTGTGATGTTCCCTATCAGGCAGCTTTTGTGTTTCAAACATGTGAAGTTACTTTGTCTGAGGAGAGGTTGACCAGGAACACCATGGCACCTACGACAAGGAACCTGATGCCCCAACAGCTTGCACTGCCATCTGACTGGCGCTTGCCACCAGCTTCTCCCATGTTGGCTCCTGGGTGGTCCCGATCATCCAGTCAACAAAGACCAAGGAAACATCAAGCTGTAGAAACAAGAAAAACTGCTTACAGACAGAGAAAGAGTCATTAGTTTTCTCTCAAGTATAAATCTTTTCATCTCCATCTGTTTTGTTCTACACAATTATTGTTCCAGCAGGAATTACTCCGGGCTGCACCACATGTTCTACAAATAATCAAGACAATTCTTCATAAATAATAACCACTTCATGCAAAAGTGTCAGCAATATAAAGGTTTTTTTTTTTTAATTACATTTAAAATTAACTTTTATTTATTAAAAAAGAAATCCTTCTTCTGGTCTTGGCCCCACTCAGACTATTGGCTCATCAGTTTCTCCAAACTGAGGTTGTTCTAAAACCTATGTGTAGCAGGTAAGATATTACTTGTTCATAACTTTTTTCACAGAACCCCTTTTGAAAAGTACTGAACTTTTGCTTTAAATATGAAACAACTGCAAAACAAGAAGGTGATTTTTTTTAATCTCAGATGTTTTTAGACACTTCGGGTTGTTTTAGATGCCGTCAAACTTCAGCTGCAGATGAACCATTTACAAACAACATATTATGCACTTCCTTCAAAGCAGCCAGCTTAACACATCCCCTTTAAGTGCTTTGATGACATTTTTATTTTAGACATTTCAAATCCACCCTTTTTCCCTTCAATCATCTTGGCTTTAGGCATTTTAATTCATCCTTTGTGGCCCTCAATGTCAATGTTTGGGCCTTTAATGTCAACATCAGGTGTCTTAATTTCTCCTTTGACCTTTGGCATTTTAACATCAATATCACCTTCAAGTTTGGGGCCTTTTAGTTTAATGTTAAAATCTGGGCTCTCTAATTTTGGACCTTTGATGTTCAATGTTGGCAATATCTGCCTTCAGAAGGTTGATGTCAACATCTGGACCTTCTACTTTTGGCCCTTTCAATCCAAATAATGGCATCTAGCCCTCAGCTCTTCTGTTGACACACCATCCATCTCAGCTGGAGGCACTCTTGCCTGTATTAACGCCCTCCAGAAAGCAGAACGATTTGGTCCCTATGTATTATTTCGGCCATCCCTTCTCAGCCCACGACCCATGGGTTGACTAAATGTTTTTTCACGGTTTTCAGCCCTCTCTGTGTTCCAATCTCCGAGTGTACCCAGTTCCAACACTCGGCTTCAAACATCAGCAGCTCCCAACATTACAGTAAGCATTGCAGATCGATAATGAGATGGAGCTGTTCTGATCAACTGATCCCTCATTGCCTTTGGAAAAACATGCACTTGATAATCTGCTGCCAAACCCACAGCCAGTGCATCTCTTACACACAGTCGAACCAGTCTCTGCACACATTCCCCTAAGGTCACCCAATGCCCCTGTAAATCAGGCCAATCCGATGCTCCAGGAAACATCTGTCAGACTGCCTCTGCATAAACTTCAAACAAAGGTCTCGAGTCTTGCAAAGCTCTGACTTCCTGTCGGTACGCTGAATTCACTCCTACCTGACCTCCACCTTTATCCAACAGCCTAGCTACCCAGGCATCTGTGGGTTCTCCAGTCTGTTGTTTATATATTTTAGACAAGTAGGCGACCTCTTCCTGAGTATAGTAATCATTCCAAGGCTCGGGGCGCCCCCCACTGCCTCTCAAACAAAGCGCTATCAACTGATACAGGGACTTGCTCCATCCCGGCACAACTTTCTTTTTGACAACATTTTCACTTTTTTTCATCTGATACAGGGACTTGCTTGATCCCAGCACAACTTTCTCTTTGACATCATTTTTATTTTTTTTTTCAACTGATACAGGGACTTGCTTGATCCCGGCACAACTCTGTCACTCGTTTTTTCTTTTCTTTTGAACATTATGCGGCACTCTTTCCAATATCCTGTTCATGACGCCAAAATGTTTTGGGATATTTGTTTAAATAAAACCAGGATTCGGAAAAGTAATCAGCACAATAGTTCATAAGAAAACACACAAACGCCGTTCTGCTAGAATAATTTGTGTCTTTATTACTCCGCCACAGCTTACAGCGTAAAAGCAAAACAATGTGCAATCATACTCAGATGTACACACACAAATGTCGATGTATCAAACAGCTCTCACCGTGACACAAAGGCTGGAGAGCCGCTTCAGCCTGGGTGGAACCAGAAAACACCGACACAGCTGGACGTCCCGTCCGGAAAAGACTCACAGCAGACTGTAACCTGGTCTAAGTGCTTCTTCTTTTTATTCTCTCTCTCGACATCACATGAGAGCGTTTCCCAGTGAACAAAAACATGTTTACTTGAAACTCAGAGCTGCATTCCAGAAAAAACAGTAACTCCTTTCCATCTGCATGGAGGGAGTGAAGACTTATCTTATCTGAGGAATAACATGCTCACTTGAAACTCAGAAACTTCAAGGTAGCATCAGAGGAGGATGAGCCAAAATCAACTTCTCATGCTTCCCGAGTGATAAGCAAAAAAAAAAAAAAAAAACACTTCATCACAGTTCTTTTGAGTCCTAAGTGATAAGAACATTCCTTTCTGCAAAAACACTTCATTATAATTCTGCAAGTAAAGGTATCTTTATTGTCATTCACATCACATGTGGTACATGAGGTGGGACAAAACTATGTACACAGGGTCACTTGTCATATTGTCACTGCAACTAGATCTGTGCTTTTGGCAGAAAATGTGGACAAGTTTGGTCTTTTTGGCCCAAAACTTAAAACTTGATTAGTTAGATTGTAAACAGTCTGTTGCTGCTTATTGTTCTGGTTCTGACTGTTATTGTATTTATTAAGATTTTTATTATTGTTAGTATAGTTTATTGTAAAGAGTGCCGTGTATTTAAAATATCATCCAAATGGGTCGCTTTTATTTATTTTTTTATACAAACGTATTGTTTACTTGGCATATTTTCAAAATAAACATTTTGTAAGTCTTCAGTTTGTCTTTTTTGTACCGAAAATTAACCGAACAGAGCCCTCCTTGAAACCGAACCGAAATGTGATTTTAGCGTACCGTTACACTCCTACTTTCCACTGTTGCCACTGTGCTTGCTCAGGATGGGAGACTGCAACAAAGCCAAGACTCGACTTGTCTGCTGCTTCCTTAGATAGAGAACTTTACTAATTGGCTTTTTTATGTATGTGAATGTTCCTGTAAAGTGACCTGAGACAACTTTGTTGTGATTTGGCACTATATAAATGAACTGAATTGAATTGAAATGAAGTCTTGGTACTGGTGCTTGATGGGAACAAGTGCCAGTAATTTATTATTTACTGTAAGTTAGACATTCAGCTTCTTTCTGACGTTTCAAACAAATAGAAAATAAACAAGATCTGTTTCTTTTTTGTTGACGTCAGATTTTTTTGACATGTTTTTGGATGAAGTTGCATAAACTCATTTCAGACTTTATTGTTATAAACGCTTGAATGTTTTACCATACCATACCATACCATTTTATTTATAGAGCACTTAAAACAGCGTCAAGGCCAACCAAAGTGTTATACAGACAAAACAACAGGCAACACACAAACAATATACAAAATGAGGTAAATCAAAATACAGACATAAAAACAATGCAGATAATAAACATGACGACTAATCAGTGTGGAGCGTACAGGTTCAAAACACAGATCATCTGGTGTTGAAAGCTACTGAATAGTAGTGGGTTTTTAAACGGGACTTGAATACCGAGAGGGAGGGGGCCTGTCTGACAAGCAGAGGCAACTCGTTCCAAAGTCTTGGGCCAGCTACAGAGAAGGCCCTGTCACCTCTGCGCTTAAGACGAGTTCCTGGAACTGTGAGGAGCAACTGGTCCGCTGACCTCAGGGAACGTGGTGGGACATACGGTTGTAGCAAATCAGAGAGATTGGGGGGG